TGTTATTATTATCTAGAATAACAATAACAATCGTAAAATAAAAACAGTAACAAAAACCAGGTACTGAGAGCTTCCTGCTCTCTCACAGTAAATAAATCCTTGTGAAAGGAAACTCAGCCTGGTAGGAAATTAAATAAGTTTGGGATGAGGAGATTGCCAATTTTTCTCCTCCTAGAGTATCTATTTTCGAAGTCAGCAGGAAGCAGAGGTCATGTTTCTAAATGAGTTTGAACATAATGGGAACTACACTCACCAAACAGCACCTGACTTTTATTTCTTTTCAGTTCTATGTACATAAATAAACGGCACATACCTGAAAAAAAGTACATGTGCAACTTTTACAGGTCACTGCGTTCTTGGGTTCCCAGAGACTCCCACTCCAGGTGTGTGAATGCCCTGGTGATATTTTTAATTTCAGACACAATTCTGTGGCTCAGGTACTGGAAAGCGAGTCCTCAAATCGGGCACATTTCACTTTGAAAGAAATTTCCAGCTCAATTCCAGGGGCTTCTGCGTCTCATTACACTCTCGGTAATTAGCTCTCTCATTACACCCCAGCCCAGTTGGAAGAGGATGTGTTGTTTTCAGGTGTAGAGCTGTGGTGGGCCGCCCCTACACCTCCTCAAAACTCCAGGCAGGCCTTGAGCCTCTGCCAAATCCAGACAACCACCTCCAGCTGTGTACACTTCATTACAACTTCCACCTCAGGAAGAATCTCCATATTTCACATCTGGTCGTCCGCTTATTAATTATGTACTTCTTAGGACAACTGTGCCTAATTAGGACAGAGTCAAGACCTTTGCTGAGCCCAGTCATTCTTGTTTTCTTGTTTGTGGTACCTCATTACCCTCCCTCCAAATTATGCTTGATTTGTTTTCCACCCCTGCCGTGTTAAGACAATTGTTCTCAGGTGTGTGTATTACAGCACACATACGGCTTTTGCAAAGCTCCTTTTCACATCCTGCTAGAAGGATGGCCACTTGGCTGGTGGTCTTTATCATGTTTGACTCCACTGGAGGGAGTCTAGCTTGGGCTGGTGGGACCCTGGTTATCCTCTGCTGTTTACTATGAAATTTCTGTGCCCTGGTACTGCGGAAGCAGCCATGCTATGTCTCAGAGCAAGAATCTTGAACACAATGGCCTTGGTACATTCTGTGGAGCAGGAATTCATTTGTTCCATCAACTTCCAGGCTCTTTGCCAGTTAAGGAGTAAAGAGAGACTAGTGAGACATAGTACTGCCGTCCAGAAGAGCAAAGCTCAGAGTAGCAGAGGGTTAGGCTGAAGGTTTTAGGTCTCAATCCTACTGTGTGTCTTCCTAGATGAAAGGGTAGCCCTGGGAAATATGGAGTCTGCGGAGGGCCAGATGAGAGTGCAGGTTCCCACTCCATGTCACAGGGACTGTCTCTTTTGCTTGCCATTACGTTATTCCATATCAGGATTTGTTATTGCTGTAACAGGCAATCATATCTTTTTTGACTGGCAGTGAACACCTTAGCACTAAGACTTTCACGGATATGACTTGACAGTAAGAATGATCAGGCTTTGGTTGCCAATCAGCTTGGCTGTTTTTGCGGTTTTCTTCTGAAGCTATTTGAAACACAAATTAATGACTATCAGGCTAAGAAAATATTCAGGTAAGAATGATGTCCTGGAGGGGGGCTGGAGCTTCTGCAGGTGAGGTCCCTGTGCCCAGGGCAGTGATTCCAGCTGGAGGTCCCTGCTGGATTCCACATGACTGCCCGTCTCAAGGGTGTGAGCTGTGGGAGCTTAGGTCTGGTCCTACCACTGAATTTGAGCTGATTCACCTGCTCAGAAATGAACTTGTCCTTCAGAGCCTGGACGCAGGGGTCCTCTTCAGCCAAGGGCTTCACGAGGAACCTATATCCTTGATCCTTATCTAACCAGCAGAGATGTAACCACCTGTGAGAGGGAGAAGTTCTTCTGGGGCGGTAAGATTAAAAAAACATTTGTGAAGCAGGAATAAAAACACTGTACAAGGATGAAAATCCCTGAGATAAATCGTAACCATGGTGCAGGTATAAATGAGTGCTCATGGGGTGAACGGCACAGCATTATCCAGAATATTGTTTACAAATCAAGAGGTGCAATCACAAGTGATAACAAGATAGTCAAAAGTAACAAAACACCCCAGAAGAAACCACTGTCAGCAGTTCTGAGAATACAGCTGACCAAAATCTATCAAGGTTCAAAGGAACCTATCCTTAGAATGAGTACTTCTTCTTCAAAAAGTTTATTTTAAGGGAGGCTGAGTTGGGAGAGATTCCATTTAGCATCTTCCAAGACCTGAAAGACCATAGTATTGATGGCATGGTTGTGGGACAGCATGTTAAGTGCCAGAGAGCAGATGACAGTGACGATAATAGAAGGAAGCTCTCCCTAGAGCTGCTCTGGCTTATGGAGTTGGTTCTCTCATGATTGGGCTGGATCTCACCTCCCAGTCCTCCTTCCTGGGGCTCTTGTCTGTTGTCCACCTCCAGACCCTTCCTCAGGAGCCTTCTCCATGATGCTGATAGTGGTACAGACAGTATCCCCCATGTGTCCATTCCATCTGTCACTTTGCAGAAGAGCAAGATGATATTCTGCTTTGTTTTAATGCCCTTTCTGGGAGGCCTACTTTATTGGCCTTTATAACGGCAAAAACACATTTAGGGAGTGGTTTGCAAGGCTGGAAATGAAGTCTTGTGGCCGTATATCAGTGTGAGTGGATGCTGGACCTTGCCCTTGGGAGACGCTGGCTCTCTCCAGTGATTTCTGATCATAGCTGTGAGCAGCACAAAAGCAGGTTCACAAAATATCCCCAAAGTAGGACCATAACAAGTAGAAACCGTCCCTGTGTTCAAGATGGAGGCAGATTTTGAGGTGGCTGTACCAGCTCTATCTGCATCCACGGGATCATCACTGAGTAGCTATTCTTGATCTCTTAAAGAATAATGACTGATGTATCATCCTGCATAGTGATTTGGGACCAAGAATCATAGACTGCTTTTTCTGTGCAGAACTGACATTTTTCAAGCCTATCATTATTGCAAGCAAAGCAAGGATTTCGCTTTTCTAAATGTTCCCCCGAAACAGTTCATTTGCTATTTGTCTGTCGGTTCTCAAAGTTCTTGGCGGTCTACTCTGTCCAAACCCGTGTCCCTTTCTGCATCCAATTAAACGATTCTAAGCACTCCCCCATCCCACCCTGGCACTTCTGGTCTTCTTGTCACCACTCCAGGGCCCTTTGTCCAGAGTGGACAGGAAGGGGAAGAAAGGGAGGGCACAGAAGTGCTGAGGGCAGGCCACGGCCACCAAGAGGAGGCTTCCAAACCACAACTATCAGCTCTGACTCCCCTCGTCTCCCTCCCCTCACCCCCACTTCTCAGGGAGACTACTCCAATGATGTTGTTTAGGGACAGTACCTTCTTGCATGATCATCTCCCATGTAGATTCAACTTCTTCCTCGTTGGGCCTCTGAAGCTACAGAGATTTACAACATTCCTTTTAGAATCTCCTGGAAGACCATGCTCCAGTTGCCTGCTGAGTTCCCTTCACAGCCGCCCCACTGGCCTGATTCTGAACTCAGCCCTGAGTGTACATCTCTTAGGATTTTGGTTAGAGTCAAGCTTCTGTTCTTCTGTCTTCCAGGTAGGTAATACGGGAGCGCTCAACACTGCAGATCTGGGCCCCGCAGCGTTTGGCGCGTTATTAGGGTCTCAGGGCATGTTTGCGGAATAAATACAAGAAAAACAAGACACAACGTTTAGGCTTCTTGAAGCATTTTGTTTTAATTGTCTGCTTTTCCCACCAAGACCTAAGTTGTACAAGCGGGTGTAAAATTCTGGACCATCAGGTCATGACACGTGACCTCATGTAGTCCAAGTCCTTTCTGCTTTCTTTGCCACGTGTTTTCAAGTTGGGTCCCAGTCAGTGCATTGTTTTCTTCTGTGACATATCAGCCATAGGTGGCAAGAGCACTTGGAGACACGGGGACAGTGGGGAGGCAAGCATGCGGGGAGCAGCGGGCTCCCACCTCAGCTGAAAGCACTGCAGAAACAGCCTCGGCTGGAGGGTGCACAGAGGAGGAAGGTCATGGCTGTACCAGCTTCCTTGCACTCGGCTGCCAGCTGGAGCTACCTTCTAAGATGAGGAAGGCCTAGGGGCTCCCAAGGAGAGCAAGCATTTAAGAATAACTAACACCCAGGCACGGTGTCAAGTGAGATTAAAAGTTCTCTAACCATTATTTTCTCTTGGAGAGTGGAGGAGAAAAAAAAAAATCAAGAAGAGTTGAATCACCTTTCATTTTTCCGTTTTTGTCATTAATTTGGTGGTGCTTGGTTTTGATACAGCAGAAATAAAAACAAAAAGGCATCACACCAACAGATCACCTGGGTCCAGGCTACTACATACAAAACTCTCCCAAGGATTGAGATAAAAGGACTTTATCCCCCAAGACCTGAAGCGGTGAAGAGGTCCTGTTTGGTTAGGAAAACTGGTTGAAAACTACAGCTAGCTCAAAAGCCATTGGTAACAGAGACAGAAAACAATACACATACACTTATTTTATAGAACTGTAAACTGACAAGGTCAAGAGAATAAAAATCCTACTGCTTAAGTAATAAAACCCCACTGAGCAGTTTTAGGAAGGGACTAGAACTTAGGTAACAATCTACTTACCAAAGATTGCTGGGTGTTAGTCATTCATGCATTCATTTTTACTGCTTACAACCTTCCTCCCCATCGCACCCTAGACCCTCTGGAACTGACCACATCAAAGTAAATGTCCAACCCAAACACTCTGTACTGTGAAGTTCCTTTAGCATTTATAGAAAAGCCAAAAAGAAAGAGAAAAGAAGCCTTACACCTTCTTTCCACCCAAGCATCAGTGTGGAGAAAACTAAGTCAGCTTAGAATATACCAACCAACATACCAAAGAAGGGACTGTGACTGAGAAAACAAAAGTGACCCATCCCCTGGCCCCTTCCTGCCATGCACCCCGTTACACTGTAGTTATTTTCTTATCCTTGGTGGCTTGCTTGATGGCTGCCTGCTCGCAGATGATCTCCTTGAGCCGCTGCAGCCGCATGTTCTGGGTGGTTTGGTCTCCCACCCCCGTCTGGCTGCGGTGCAGCAAGGTCAGGGCATGAATGTACTCCAGCTCCGTGTACTTCACACCCTGGTCCACCACCAGATTCAGGAGCTCGTCGGCCGTGTTGTACAGCATCTCGTAGTACTGCCTGGGAAAGCAAGATACAACGTGGTTCACTGGCTGCACAGTCAGCAGTCGACATGGTTTCAGTGGTAATGCACGTGCTGTTCATAAGCTACTGCGTTTACCTATTCAATAAACATTCACTTATCACTGGGTGTTGTTCCAGGCTTCCCCGGTGGCTCAGCAGTAATCCACCTGCAGTGCAGGAGATGCAGGAGACTCAGGTTCAAGCCCTGAGTTGGGAAGATCCCCTGGAGGAGGGCATGGCAACCCACTCCAGTATTCTTACTTGAAGAATCCCATGGACAGAGGAGCCCAGTGGCTCTTGTCCAAGGGGCTGCAAAGAGTCAAACATAAGTGAAGTGACTTAGCATGCACACTGACGTTGTTCCAGGTCCGGTGACTATGATGGAGAGTAAGACAGATATGATGTCTGTCATCCTGGAACTCACTTCACAAGAAGTCTAAATGCAGACCCAGAGAGACCTCTCATCAGGGTCTCAGATCCCTGAAGACTTTCCCCTAATTTTGCATTTGCCTCAGGATATAAAAGAGAAAGAAAAGTTGGGATACAGAAGTGAGAGAAATAACCATCCGGCAGGCATTGCTAGCAGTTTCTGTCTCATTCAGTCCCTCATTCATCAACTTATTCATTGGAGGCTCTGTGAAATATACGGTTTTCTCCATAAAGTGGGATAACAAGAGTACCTCTTGAGGCGATAGTACCTCTTAGGGTCACTGGAAGAATCAGTTAATCCATATAAAGAACTTAGAATGGTGCCTGACATAATTCTACCTGCTCCATAAACATTAACTATTATTACTGGAAACAGATCTATAATAATACATTAATAGTAAAGTAGTAATAAAAATAGTAGTATATAATGATGAGCAAAACACAGTCCCTTTCCTTAAATAGCTCAGAGACAAGTAGGAGAAGGCAATGAAAAGCAGCGAAAACTGCTGGCAAAGTTAATTTCCATGTACTGGGTCATGTAACCACTAGTAATACCTAGGGAGCTATTACTCCCTTTTCTCAGATAAGAAAACTGAAGCCCAGGGAAGCGACAGGACTTGCCCAGTGTCACAGAGACATCTGTGAGTGTGCTAGAATGAACTCAGGTTTTGGACTCTAAGTCCAGTACTCTTCTTCAAGGACACAGACGTGACGTGACGCTCCAAGTGCCCCGAGTGAGGTCTCCATGCTATGAACTGACGGCAGAGGGAGGAGGAGCCAGGCCATGTTGCTGGACGTGAGGGACCACGTCCTGGGAGTGCAGCTGAACAGAGGAGAGCCGTGGGAAAAGGCACGAAAGGGCAAGGGTACAGAGTCTGGCATCGGGTTAGTTGAGTCAAGAGAGAACCTGAGACCGAGGCACGTCAATAAAGCACTCCGCACTTGGGGTCCCAGGTTCTGCTGAGAAGAGAGGCAGCTTCTGGAAGATTGATGTGATGGCAGTATGCAAGCAGGAGGATCTGGGAAGGGACCAGGTATAATTCCAGCAAAAAGGAAGGGACTTGAGAGCCATTTGGCTCAAGGGCCCTAGAGACACAGTTGAGGGAGACAGCTATTTTAGGGAACTACTTAAGAAAACACTGAAACAATTGTTTAAGGACACATGTTTGAAGCTAAATTTGTCACATGGAATAAAAGAGGATTGGGAACTCAGGGTTCTTTCAAAGCTAGAAAACGGGACTTTCCTGGCAGTCCAGGGGTTAAGACTTTGCCTTCCAGTGTGGGTTTGATCCCTGGTCAGGGAGCTAAGATTTCATATGCCTTGGGTCCAAAACATAAAACAGAAGCAATGTAGCAAATTTGATGAAGACTTAAAAAATGGTCCACATCAAAAAATCTTAAAAAAAGAAAAAAAGCTAGAAGGGACTTGAGAGTTGAAGTTCTAGAATGGTGCTTCGCCAACTGTAGAGTTACTAGGGAACTTAGGAAAAGCACAGGTCCCCAAGACCTCCATCCCCAGAGATTGTGATCCCCAAAAGTTTAGAGCTAGGCAAGACTCTGAGCCAGTGTCTGTTTGGTAAGGGAATAGTTACAGACCCATTCCCACCTCCTTGAGCCAAGGATCTCAAAGCATTAGGGAAGGAGACAGAAGCAGTAGGTGGGTTGTGATGCTTTTCACTGAGATTAAACCAAAAGAATTGGGTTTCTTTGTACTATGATGTTGATATTTTCATCATTTATCTTAAGAAGTAACACTGAACCTACCAGACCAAGTGAAATTGGATTTCTTTTGAAAAATCCAATGAATTGTTTCCAGGGATACTGGCTGGTTTTTTACAGAGACCACGGTTTCATGCTGGGAGCAGACAACAAAACAAAGATGCCTGGATTTCTAGTCCTGGAGCCTCCAGTGTGATAAGTGATAAAGGGCATGCTACTTAAGCCCTTAATGTTTCAATATCCTCTGTGCGATGAAGACCTTTATAAATCCCAGAATGACACTGCGAAGTGGACTGAGAGACTAAAAGAGTCCTCAGGAGCCTTGGATGAACAGTGCCTCAGAACTGCAAAGCTGAGTTATTAAACAAAATTGACAGGTAACTGATGGTGTATTTTCCATAGTTAAGGGGAAGAAATTCCCCATAACTACGATGATATATTAGATCATAAAGAAACATAAATATTTAAAGACAGAATGAAATTCATTCATCTTTCAGAATAGTACCCAGGAGCAAAGGGTATACTAAATCAGCATAGCAACAGTTCTACTTGGAGGTGGAGAAAGGGTGCTACAAGGTGCCCTAAGGAGAAAATAGGCAAATGCCTTGAACTATACAATTAGGATGAGCCTCCATGCTAAACACTGACAGACTGAAATGAACATGCAATCTGAGTGGGATAAATAATTTATCAGTGCTTATTGAGGGCCCAGGAAAATGAAAGCTTGGTCTTTATCATCACAGATTAAAATAGGAGCATGGCTTCCAGGGCCCCACGTTTTATACAGGATGGTACTCTACTTGACTCCCTAGATGGGACCGGTGGAATACACACTTGATTTAGACTTTTTCTGGTTCATGACTTGTAGAGCAAGTTTCTTCATAGCCGGTGATATTTAGAGTCCAATTGCTAGACATGGACCAAATATCCCATTCCGGTAACCAGAGATCCACGTACTGCTTAGGGCTGGAACGTTCTGTGCGGAGGTGGTTCCTCCCTGCGGTTTTTCTCTCGCATTGCTGAGTGCCTTTGGGCAGAGTTCCCAAGTTTAATGAGTGAAGAGGGAGAGAGTGCAAAGATAGAAAAGCGACGTCACATAGACGGGTCTCACAGTCTATAACATGACAACGTTTGCATTTTGCTCAGATCCAAGCAGATTATTTTTTCATATCTTCCTCATCTCCTTTATCCACAGACCTTTCTTCCTTACTTTTTCCCTTATTTTATTTTAATGGTATGGCACTGCATACCATTTTTCTCCCCAGTAATTCTGTCTGAAAACATTCATAACAGTAAGCATGTGAAGAACATTTTGGTAAGTTGGGCAAATCTTTTTCAAGTGTAAAAATAAAGTATGTTTTTCTGTGACTGGATATTAATACATGTGTCATAGTTGTCCCTGTAGCTCAGCTAGTAAAGAATCCACCTGCAACGGGGGAGAGACCTGGGTTTGATCCCTGAGCTGGGAAGATCCCCTGGAGAAGGGAAAGGCTACCCACTCTAGTATTCTGGCCTGGAGAATTCTAGGACTATACATACAGTCCATGGGGTTGCAGAGTCAGACATGACTGAGTGACTTTCACTTTCACATAGGACACACAGATTATACAGAAAGATTAAGCTGAAAAAAAATTACTCATATAATTCCATCATGAAGACACACCATATTTAGCATTTCCTTCCAGATTTTTCCCCCCACATGTAGAAGTCTACAGTTTCTTTCTTATAGTTGAAAAGTTTAGGTTGACACACTATTGGACACTTGGGTTGTTTCCATTTTAAAAAACTTTCTTTCCTGTGTTCAGATTTCCAAAACAGAATTAGTCAAAAAATAAGTATATACTTTTTAGGACTTTGGCAATGCCGTCAAATTGCTTTCTAAAAAAGCTGTATCAAAATCTTCCTACCAACAGCATATGACAGCCCCTAGCTCCTCATTTTCTTTTAATTTACATGAGGTTGAACAAGTTTTTTACCTACATATATATATTTTTAATGTGTGGGCATGCATGCTAAGTTGCTTCAGTTGTATCCGACTCTAGGTGACCCTATGGACTGTAGCCCACCAGGCTCCTCTGCCCACGAGATTCTCAAGGTAAGTGGGATGCCATGCACTCCTCCACTGGGAAAGCCCTTTTAAAGCAGGTGGGTATGTGTATATGTATAAGCAAACTGTTGATATCTTTGTATCTTTTGTGTATTAGTGCTTTTCTTACTTCTCTTTAAGAGAGCTTCCTAAGTTTTCACAGACATGAAGCAAGGAGAGTTCTAGTCTCTCATCCCTGGTTCTCCTTCCCACTTCACCAACCTCAAAATTATCACTGTATCTCTGAGAGCTTCGAGAAAGAGTTTCCATTCTCTTCTTTGTCAAGGGAGGGAGGAAAGCCCTAATGAGCCCAGTTATTTTCAACCCAGTGCCCCCTCATCTCTGTTCTTGCGGGCGGTCCATAACGTTTGGGTACGGGAGTGAAAGGAAGGCACCACCTGGGGGCCTGCCCACAGTCTCTGGAGAAAGCTCTGCCCTCTGCCTCCCTCCACTGTTGGGGTTCAGATTCCTGGATCTCCAAACGGAGACTATATTTTCCACAGATACACAGCTATGTCTCAGACTGGGTTTTATAATCCATCATGATCACTGCAGTAGTTAATAGCAATGTAAAAATTTTAGTTACATTAACACATTCAACCAGAGAAGGCAATGGCACCCACTCCAGTACTCTTGCCTGGAAAATCCCATGGATGGAGGAGCCTGGTAGGCTGCAGTCCATGGGGTCGCTAAGAGTCAGACACGACTGAGCGACTTCACTTTCACTTTTCACTTTCACGCATTAGAGAAGGAAATGGCAACC